AGTGAGGATGTGGTGAAGTTCCTGGTAATGGAGCTGATAATACTGATAACTTATCTAAAGCTGCTGAGCTGACATGGCTAGCCTAGAAACATAGGACTGACAGTCAATCACTTTACAGTATAAAAGCCTAGTTCCACATTTTAACAGCAGGCACTCCTAAGATATCCCTTCTAGGAGTGTCTGTGGAAACTCCTGAGTGGCGATGCCCCTCCAGGTTACTCCTCAACACTGAGCAAAAGAGATCTGCCAACGATTGTTGGTATGGATGAGTAGCATCAGTCCATACTTAATTATTTTGCTAGCTTTAACATTGTTCCTTCAATATAGCTTAAAAAAAAAAACTATACTAATAGTTGTAACTATCTATATTGTGTAGTAAATAATTGTGAACGAAGTCTTTTAGTCTAAACATTATCATCATCAAAAAAAATAAATATTTTATACATGTAAATATATTTAGTTTGTCACTCTTAATCCTGCAGGACAAAGTTGCACAAAGATTCAATTGCAATAACTTACTCAACCGCTTCTCTCAAAAGAGACTTCCATTTTGCAAATTCCATTTTTAAACTAATGAACTACCTGCAAATAAAAGGCATTATAAGCGATTAAAATGTCTCAAATATTTCCTAACAGAAAGTTCCCTTGGCTTAGGAACCCAGCATGATTGCTCAATGCACAAGTATTCTACATATTAGTCATCTGTTAGCCTTTTTGATGAGTCATAAAAAATTAATCAGCTTGGATGTTCAGAGGAAAACAGAGATCCTGCTCAGATCAATGAGTTATGAAAGAAATCAGGGTCCAGAATTACCCTTATGTTCTTTGACTGCTTCAGCCATTTCCAAAAGCTCTTTGAGGTTTGCCTTTGTTTTAGTTTGCTATACAAAGATTCACGGGAAACCAGAACTTCTGCTTTACACATTGAGAAATGTGCATTAAAGCAACATTTACAGGAAGCTTTTCTCATTGCTCACTAAAACCTGGAAAGGTCAAAGAAGGCTACAGGAACTACATTATAAATAATCCCTCATTTTATGAAGATCAGATATAGGAATCCTGTATTTTAGGCCTTGTCTAAAATCAGGAGACTGACAATAGCTTTGATACAATGAAGAAAGGCCTTAGAAATCTTAACTTAAAACCCAAGAAAATTCTGATTATCTATAAAGATCATGGACTTCCCATCATAAAACGTCATACATATATATACAGTATATAAAGTTAGAAGTTTTTATTTCATATTAGCAGAGAGAAAGAAAATAAAGGAAAAGTCAATAGGTGGCCACAATCATAAGAAAACTTCTTTTGAAATTTTTCTCAGAGGACACAGTGGTGAACACTGTGGCAGAGTCCTGAGTGCACTGACATGCAACACCCCCCTAACTTTCCCTGCTTGGGTTCAGGGCTGAGTTCCACTGCTCTGCTGTACAGAGCACTGAAGGAACAAGAACTGTGGGAAGGCTCAACAGGGTCATCCCCCTTCAATCCCCAAATGATTTTCAGCTGGGCACGAGCCCTTGGCCCCTGCCCACGCTGTGCTGCAGATGTGCTCACGCCCCTTGTCAGTGACTCACTAGGTGAATTTTTAAGTCATGTAATGCTAAAATGCTGAGTTCTATTCATTGGAACAGATGAATTCCTGTTTGTTTTAACAGAGAAATGTAGAGACATTGATTTGAGATGTGCTTTCTATTGTCAGGTTCCCAAGATTGCAAGAGAAAAATCTGTGCTTCCGAAGGAAGCAATCAGTTAACCAGGGATGATGATAAGATTATGCAAGAAACACAAGGCATCTGCCCCAAATACAAACAAAGCCTCTTTGTGATGACTAAAGAAAATGGGTAAAAAAGAGCAAAATGACGACATTGGTTTTACCCCAAATAATACTGCTAATGCAAAAAATTGATTACTTGATAAAAAGTAAGGGGAAAGCATCCAAACTGACAACACCGATTACTTATGAGAACATAAGTTACCACATAATTGAAATTAGCAGAGACTCGAATATGAATGTTTCATCTGGCTAGAAGCAGACAGTCCTCAAAAACAGAAATTAAAATCACATTAATCAGTACATAAAAAGTTGAATTAATCTGGTTGGAAAAAACAATCGAATTAATCTGGTTGGAAAATAAAACAGATGAAAATCTGGTTGAAATGCAATCAAATGCTATGAATTATTAGGAAAGGATTTGAGAACAAAACTGATAGTGTTCTTATGCCAATACAAAAATCCATAAGGACTGAACCTGGACCGTAGTTCTGGTCCCCAATTTTGAGAATATAAATTAACCCAGATATTATACAGAGAAAGGTAACAATGACAATCAGTGTTACAAAGTGGCTGCCATAAAGGGAATGATTAAAAATACTGGCCTATAAAAGACAAAACTGAGTGGAGGATACTGTAGTGGGCCCAAAGTTATGAATGCCATGGAGAAGGTGAAATGGGATGACTGTTCTCTGTCTCCTCCAATACAAGAACTAAGAGGCATCAGATAAAACAAGCAGGAGACAGGCCCCAAACAAATATAGAGAGGTACTTTTTTAGCCAACATGCAGCTGAGATGTGGGTCTCCCTGACAGAGTGCTGAGGGTGCCAGAAACGTGCTCAGGTTCCAAAAGTGATCATCACACTTATCAGCAGAAGAAAACAAAAAAACCACACTCTGGGGTCCGAAATATGAAGATACCATTTCAACTCAGAAATTTCTACAGTCACAAATCACTGGAAGTGGAGAGAGTATTTTTATTTTTTACTGCTGTGCACTTGCCCTGCTCCAAAACACTTGGCAGACACCTGCTGTTGGCCACTATTGGAAACAGGATGGTGGCCCGACAGTTCTTTCTTACAATTCACTTGGTGGCGTGGTTTTCAATTTTTTTATAATGTAGCTTCTAACTTCAAAATGGCAATTCCTTTTACTTTCAAAAGGAATCAATGCCAGAAGCACCCTTGTGGCTATTTTGTCTTTTTTCTTCATAAAACTGAATTTTCTTTAAAAAATGAAACTCTCATTATAATTTTTTTCTTAATGAGACAGAAAACACACTGGCCTCAGCAAAGACAGATGCCATTTTGTCCACTGTAACAATTAGAAGTGCATGAGAAAAACGCAGAGCAGCTGAAGTGAGTTTAAGGACAGGCAAAAAGAGAAAATGCATGGAAACAGGCTACAGGAAATTTTAAAGAGTCACAGGAAACATACAAGAATCAGAAAACTAGAAAGGCGGCATCAAGGGAGTAAGAAACACCATGAGGGCAAACAAAGGATGATTTGCAAAGTAAATGGCAGATGGAAGGGCATGCAACAGAGTAAGAATTGTAACACTGAAAAAAAATAATATGATTTTATGGAAAAGATAAACATTATCTGTAGGGAGTACGGTGGTATTGAGAACTTGAAATGACAAACAAATAGAAGGGGGGAAATTTCCTCAAAAAGATATCCCACTGAAGGACACTTCCTCCAGCATATACAATCACTTTGAGGAATCCAATTATTTTTTTTGCATTTTCTTGTCAGTAATATGAATAATATCACATATAGTATCTGAGTTACAGTGAAATGTGTGCACCACTATTCATAAACCAGAAATACACTTTTTCAGGTTTGCTAACTTCGAAATCTACCCGTACGTCAACAGTTTATGTACCCTACCTAGGTCCCAAGATGGTAAGTGATCCACAGTTAGAGCCAAGGTGTAGAGTGCTCCTACTCCAAAGTTTTAGTTGTGTTGTCCTGTCAGTGCTAGATGTCTTATTACCTGGCTTCCAAACTTTCCAAGTGGAAACAAAACAAAACAAAACAAAACACTCTCTTCTGGAAGAAGGTAACATTGAGTGACATAGTTGCAACTTTCTGACAGCAAATTAACCACTAACCCAGCATTACAAGTCCAGTGCAGCCAAGTGAAAGTGTGTGTTACTAGGATGCTCAGGTATTTAGGTATAAACCGTTTGACCTTGTAGCCTCTATAGCAGAATTTATAGCCACGTCATGATGCTGAGTGATGCCACCCCTACTGTTACAGATGTATCACACCTCTGCTAATACCGGATGGCCATTCATGTCTAGCAATCAGGTCATTCATAAAAACTCTCAGATTTCTTTTACAACTTTTTCACACACAAAATTACAACGAGCATCTTAAAAGTCTTGCCCTAAGATGCCCACGAAGGCTAAAGAAGATTTACCGGCAAAGCTGAACTTGCTTGTATCCAAATCCCGTGGTTTGGGACATAGACGCGGACCCCTAATCTTTAAACGCCCGCAAGGCGGGGGCGGTTCGTCTCCGTCTCCCCACGGCGGCGGCGGGAGCGGAGCGGATGCGATTCCAGCGATCCCAGCCCGGCCGGCTCCGTGCTCCCGGCGAGCCCCGGACCGCCCCGCGCCCCGCGAGTTAACGGCTGCGCCGCGGGCTCCGGGGAATCCGCCGCCTTTCCTGTAAGCCCAGACGCCTTTTCCCTGACTCAGGAATAAGTCCCGGAAACGGCGCCGGCGAAGTCTGTGCCCAGCGGAGGGCGGGGAGCGGAGGGAGGGAGGCAGCGAGCCCCGCCGGGCTCGCCGCGGTCCCGCTGCCCGGTGACGCCGCGGGCGCCCAGCTGATGGCGCGGCTCGGCTTCCCGACCCGTTACCGTCGCTCCTGCCGCTCCGGCAGCAGCCTCGACCGCCCGCCTCGCCCCGCCGCGGACTCACCGAGCCCCGTCGCCCCGGTCTCCGCCCCGGCGCGGGGCTGCCGGGATGGAAGCCACAGCCCCCCGGAGAGGGCGAGCAGAAAGCGGGCTGTCCGGAGAGCGGCAGCGATGCGCAGCCCTACGGCGGCGAGGAGGGTCGAAGGGAGCCCCGGCCCCAAAGCTCGGCGGCGGGCACCGCTTTGCAGACTCGCAGTCGCCCGCAGGTCCGGGGGACCGGAGCAGTTGCCTGGCGAGGCGGTGCCCCGCCGGCGCACGGTCCCGCTCCGCCGAGAGCGGCGAAGTCCTCGCCGTGACTTACCGTCCCCAGCGAGGTGCGGGGCAGCGCCGGGGCGCGCATGGCTCCGCGGCCCGCTACATCCCCATGGCAGGGCCCCCCAACTCCAGAGGAAGCCGTCCCAGCCCTACGCAGCCCCGGCCGGAGCAGCGCGGAGAGTGACTACCCCTTCTCCAACTTCCTGGCAGCGGCAGCAGGAAAGAGAGCGGCGAGCGGGAGGCGGCCCGGAGCGGCGCCGCGCCCCTCCCGCCCTCCGCCGCGCACAGGCTGGCGTCGGCAGTTTTCCGTAAAAACCGAGGCAGATAAGCTGAAGAAAAGCAGCGGATGGCTAAAGCTGCTACAAAACACACGGGAGAGGAGTCGGAGGAGGTTCACTGCAATCTTAAAATTCCTTGACATAGGAGTGTTTCATCCTAAATACGTAATTTTCGTGTGAAACTTAACCATGTGCTTGTAAGAAAAAGACTTTTTGCATCTTAACTGCCTTAATTTTAAAGAACGGCATTTTTTCAGCCATGATCAGCATTTTTAGAGTCTATATGAACATCCTGTAGTTTTTAATTTAAAACACACATTTTCTTGTATGCTCCAATGAACCAGCTGTACTGATAGTGCAAATATAAGCAAAACCTACATAACATTCTGCATGAGCTCTGCTTCATTAATATACGCTCTTAGCATGTCTGAAAAACAAAAATACAGTTAGGAGTAAGAGGCTAAATGATAAACAACTCCCCTTCATTTATTGCCCATTAAGACCTCCCCTTGTTTTCTCCAAGTATCTCTCTACTAAGTCAAAGGCATTAAATCAAGGTACAAAGTGTTGTTTTGGAAGAACTTGCCCATTTCATGTGTATAAGCCCAAAATGGGTACAAAACACCCCATGAACTGCCTGAATTCCTGTGGACAAATCCAAACACCTCCAGAGACTGACTGTGCCTACTATGGAGTTGTTTATCTGCTGTGTGGAAGCCAACAACAGCACGTGCACAGGACAAAACAAGGAGGGCGCTATTCCGCACTTCAGGCTTGGAACAGCTCTGACTTTCTAGCTGCAAGTCCCAGGAGGGAAGGAAATAGCAGAATAACCACTTATCAGGTTGCAGCCATCTCCAGGGGAGAGGTGCAAAAGACTTACCAAGTTTTGTCCTGTTCGTTTCCTTGCCTTGAATGAGGACAATACAAAATTAGACCGTAAAGGGAAAATTCTTGCACACCGACGAACACATTCTGCAAAGAAGGAAATATTTTTAATAGTCTGTTTCAGGTTTAGCACATGCTGTCATGTGAGTGGATGAGGCACACCCTTCAGTCTTCATGGACCCTCAGCCTTCAAATAAAAATCACCAAAACAAACCCATTTCTCTAGAACCACACAAATGTCACAGAAATCCCCACAAACCTTCCCATTTGACTCCTCCCGCAGCTTAGGAAGGGGAGGGTACTCTGACAGCCCGCTGCACGATTGACATTTACACTAATGTCAAACACATGAGTGCACATCCACTTCCTAGCTTTTGCCAGAACTGGCAGGTCCTTGCCTCCCTCCATCCCTGCCACCACCCTGCAGCCTGCCAGGCCTCTGGCACTTCCCAAGGACCTGTGGCTTTGTGTCAAGGCCCAGAGGGACTGAGCCCACCCTTCTGCCACACAGCTTGTCTTCCAGCTTGGCCACTTTACTCCTGGGCTGCAGAGATGTATTGGGTTTGCGTGGTAGCAAGGTTTTGGTAGCAGGGAGGCTACAGGAGTGCCTTCTGTGAGAACCTTCCAGGTTCCAGGCAGAGTCAATGCCAGCCAGCTCCAAGACGGACACACTGTTGGTTGAGGCCAAGTCCATCAGAAATGGTGGTAGTACCACTGGGATAACATATTCTAAGAAGGAAAAAAAAGTTATTGCGCAGATGTAACTGTGGACAGAGAAGAGCAGAATGAGAATATGTGAGGAACAGCTCTGCAAACACCAAGGTCAGTGCAGAAGGAGGGAAGGAGGTGCTCCAGGCACCAGAGCTGAGGTTCCCCTGCAGCCCGTGCTGAAGACCGCGGTGAAGCAGCTGTGTCCCTGCAGCCCATGGAGGACCACAGGAGCGCAGAGATCCACCTGCAGCCCGTGGAGGAGCCCCATATTGGAGCAGCTGTGAGCTTGTGGGAAGCTCGCGCTGGAGCAGGCTCCTGGCAGGGACCTGCGGCCCCGTAGAGGAGGAGTCCACGCTGCAGCAGGTTTTCCTGGTAGGACCTGTGACCCTGTGGGGAACCCGCACTAGAGCAGCCCGTGCCTGAAGGACTGACCCCGTGGAAAAGTGACTCACGTTGGAGCCGTTCGTGGAGAACTGTTGCCCGTGGGAAGGACTCACGCCGGAGAGGTCCGTGAAGGACTGTCTCCTGCGGGAGGAACCCCACGGGAGCAGGGGAAGGACTCCTCTCCCTGAGCATCGGCAGAAACAACAACTGACTGTAGTCCCCATTCCCCATCTCCCTGCGCCGCTGGAGGGGAGGAGAGCGAGCCAGGGAAGGAGGGATGGGTGGGGGGAAGGTGCTTTTAAGATTTCTTTTACTTCCAATTATCCCGCTCTGATTTTGTTGGTAACAAATTCAATTAATATCCCCAAGTTCAGTGTGTTTTGCCCGTGACGGTAATCGGTGACTGATCTCTCCCTGTCCGTATCTCAACACGGGAAACTTTCAGTTTATTTTCTCTTCCCTGCCCGTTTGTAGAGGGGAGCAATAGGGCGGCTTTGGTGGGTGCCTAGCATCCAGCCGGGGTCAACCCCCGGGCAGAGCTCTGCCGGTATCCCCTCGGGATCCCATTCCTCGGCACCCCGCTCGGGAGGGGCAGGAAGCGCCGCGCGGGGGCGGTAGCTCTTGGCTCTCCCGGCAGCCTCTGCGCGTTTCCCGCCGCCGCGTCGCCACGGCAACGGCGCGGTGCGCGCGGCCTGTCATGGCGGCGCCCGGCGCGGCGGTGAGTGAGGGACGGGGGCGGCCGCGAAACCTCCCCGCCGCTCGGCACTGAGGCCCCGCTCCTCTGCTTCTCTCCCCCAGGAGCAGCGCTGGCTGCGGGAGGCTCAGGACTTCGCTCGCCGGGCGCTCCCGGGGCCGGAAGGGCAGGAGCCAGCGGCGCTGGAGGCGGTGCTGCGGTGCCTGCGAAGTGCTGGCGGCGGGGCGCTGCCGCTCGGCTACAGGTGACGGCGGGGCGGGTTGAGGGGAAGGGGCGAAATGGGATGAAGGAACGGAGCCGGGGGTGTCCCCTTTTGGCCCGGCGCCCATGCGCGGCCCTCCCGGGAGCTCAGCGCGGCTCGTCCGTGCGCGGTGCCCGCCCCGGATGGCGAGTGTGGGAGCGATGTTGTCGAACACAGGTAACCGCACGCCTTTCTTTGGCTTCGGTGCGCCCCCGGCCGCCCTTGCGGTATGAGTAAGCACCGTATCCGCCAGTCTGCGGTAGGCAGAGGGTGTCATCGAAGTGGGGCATCTCGCCGCGGGCGAGCTGCTGTTCTGCACAGCGCTTACACGGCACCTTCCCGGCTGGATCCTGGCAGCCTGCCCAGGAGGATGTTTCTGCGTACAGTCTCCGAAGCTGTTGGCCAGCCGAAGTCAGCGTTCAAGTGTGCACTCTAGAATAACGTGGTCCATATTTTAGTAGGAAAGGCTTTTGGATGCTCACCATCACGAAAAACATAAAGCTTGTTGAGAGATATCTATATTGGAAGGTTTGGCTTTTCTGGATCTGTTTTTTTCTTGCTCCAACTTATGATGGGAGAAAGTCTACTAAAACCTTTGGCACAGCCAGTTTGGGGGCAAAGGTCAATTGGAATTGTGATCAGCATGCTACATCTACAACTAACCACCAAGCTCTGGAGCACCAGAAGGGAGTCTGTTTAGTTCTCTGTATGTGATAATCAGGACCCAGCGTACTGCTGTAGTTTGGGTTTCTCCCAAAAAGCACTCGGCACATTTGACAAAAATACGAGCAGCACCGTGTTCTCCTTGTGGATCATAGGTATCAGTTTTCCTGATACTGATTTGTCTCTGAGAATGGAACATTTTCAACTAATCTCCTGTTCAGATTTCTGTGAAATACACAGATACCTGCATAAATCTATGTTTTCTGATTAATTTTTTTTTAATATCTAAATTCTGTTTATTGCTGATTCATTTCCAACTTTGAACTTTTGACACCTGACTAGTCAAGTGAAACTCTTCAAATTCATGCTCCCTGAACTTGATTATGTCCTGCTACTGAGCAAGTGTGTGTTGTGAATAAATCTCCAGTTTCACAACCTGAAATTGTCAGCGAACCTCACTGGAAACAAGTACTAAAGTCACTACCTGGAGAACAGTTTGTGTTTGCTCTTTCAGTGTTGATGCTAGCATGGACAGAGGACTTCCCTTAATTCTCTAGCACAGCTAAGATGTAAACACCAATGATGAATGCTGCCATGATCATAATAAACACTGAAAAGGTTTAGAATCTACTGAGGATACTGCCTTGTTCTCTCCTGTGTTCAGTACCATGGTCAGTCTAAGCATGATAGATGCTAAACTGTGGATGGCTTCAGATGTGGTTGATTTAATGTTGCATCTCATCCTTCCCCCTTTCCCCAAAGCCAGAAGGGTGGGTGGAAAGATTCAGGGCTAAGCTTGGCTCTGTTCTTATGAGTGAAAACCCAGTCTAATATTACTGGCTTGCTGTCTCTCAGCTTTGTATTGTGTGAACTATTCACAGGAGAGAATTTGTTCCAAAACTGTCACAATCTTCATCTAGAAGTTGTTCAAAATTATTTTTACTACAGTTCAGCAATTTTAGTACCAAATGATGGAATTAGTCTGTATTTACCTGTCTTTGTTACTGATATGTAAACTGTGGACAAGTTGTGGGGGTTTCTCACGGAGTGTCCCATTCAAGCTAGAAATGTCTGAACTAGTAACTATTCTCCTTCCCACCTTCCACATGTCCTTGAAAACATGTTTATTAAGTCTCATTATTATTTCTTTTCAAATTTTCTCCATGCTTGCTCACGTAACTGTAGTAGCAAAGGATGTCTGTTTTCAGAGAGGATGCTCAAGTAGAACAGACATGTTTACTGAGTTGAGAGAGATAACTGATAAATGCCAGTGAATGAGTTGGTTCTTGCCATGTTATATCATCAGACCACACTCTGGGTGTGCTAGGA